TTTCCTGCTGTATCTGACGTGGATGAATCAAACCAGACATCACAAAATGATCAAAAAGGAAATGCACCACAAATCTTAGCTGATGATGGTTATAACTGGAGAAAATATGGGCAAAAGCACGTCAAAGGAAGTGAATTTCCACGCAGCTATTATAAATGTACACATCCTAACTGCGAAGTGAAAAAGCTGTTCGAAAGGTCTCATGATGGGCAGATTACTGAGATAGTATACAAGGGTACACATGATCATCCTAAACCTCAACCTAGCCGTCGAAACTCTGGTGGTCTTCTTATGTCTGCACAAGAAGAAAGACTGGACAAGTTTTCTTCCTTAACTGGCAGAGATGGTAAACTAAAACTCTTGCCAAGTTGTACTCCTCTTCTTCCTTCAAGAACATGTAATACCATTTTTTTTTTGTTTTTATTCTTTATACAGAGAAGGGATCCAGCATGTGCAACAATATGTCTCAACCCTTCGAGCAAAATGGAAATCCCGAGGTATCTCCTGTCTCAGCAAGCGAGGAGGGTGGGGAAATTGCAACTTCTAGGAATAATGATGACCTGGACGGTGATGATCCATTCTCGAAACGGAGGTACTAGAGGCTTGATCTAGATTTCAGATACTTTATTTTATACTATGGTTTAACGTGCTGAAACCTTTGTCGTGACTTCATTCAGGAGGATCGATGACTGTATGGAAATAACTCCGCTTGTTAAACCAATTCGGGAGCCTCGTGTTGTTGTTCAAACGTTGAGTGAGGTTGACATATTGGATGACGGGTATAGATGGAGGAAGTATGGGCAGAAAGTCGTAAGGGGCAACCCTAATCCCAGGTTTGAACCGCTGATTTCTAGAAACCAGGAAGTTCGCTAGAAAATATCCCAATATGCATAACTTTTGGAAACGGGTTATTCATGATGCATGCTAAACTTGCATCCCAATTTGGTAAAATGTTAAAAAAAACGTGTATTTTTAAACTGCCAACAAGATGCAACAATTAGCCAAATACTGCCAATTTACTACACACAAGGGTTAATCAGGTGATCATTTCCGCCATTAGACACTGGTGTGGCTTGTCGGATTAACGTCTGTATATAGGAAATTGACAGTATTTGGCTAATTGATGTATTTTATCAGGAGTTTCAAAATTTAGGTATTGTTCTTATAATATTTTAACAGATTGGTGTGTATATATAAAATTTTACCTAACATCAATCATCAATGTATGAAACATTGAAACTCTCTTGCTTGCAGGAGCTATTACAAATGCACAGCGGCCGGATGCCCGGTGAGAAAGCACGTTGAGAGGGCATCACATGATCCGAAAGCCGTTATAACAACATACGAGGGCAAACACAATCACGACGTGCCCACCGCAAGGTCCAACAACAACAACAACAACAACCACCACCACGACATCTCGGCTGGACCACCCAGATTCAGACCCGAGGAACTCGACACGATCAGCCTCGACCTCGGCGTCGGAATGGCTTCTGGGTCTGGGCCGCCTGACCACACATCATCGGCCAACGAGCATCAGACACGACAGCTTAACAGTGGAGCTGGTTTCAGGTTCGTTCACGCAACTCCCGTTAACTCGTATTACGCTGCCTTGAACGGGAACGCGAATCAGTATGGTCAGAGGGAAACCACGAGCGAGGCTCAGACAGGTGAAAACTCGGCTTTGAACCATTCCCCATACACTTATGCTCAGAGCATAGGGAGAATACAATCTGGTCCCTAGAATGGTCGCTATGCAATACATATATACACCCATATATATACATATGTGTTATGATACTGAGATAGAGAGATATGGTATTGGATCCGATTCAAACCATCTCCAATATTATTTGCTTTTGTTTTTTTTCTGCTCAATTGTTTGTAATTTTTGAATGTGTTGTAAGAATACACAAAGAGCTTAGATGTCTGTACAACAACAATGGAATCTACAAATCTCTGCCTCCTCTCTCTTTTTGTTCAGATCAGAATCAGCCAGTGAAGAATCTTCTCCACGACTGCCATGGAAGAAACCCACCTTCAGACACAAGCAACATAAGTATGTTTAGTATTTAAGAGAGAGAGAGAGAGAGAGAGAGAGACGTGGGAATTAATTAATTACCGCATTGTGGGCAACGGCAGTACTCATCCTCTATGAGAACGAGCCCTGAACCTCCGCATTCTTCGCATCTCTTCTGTGCTATCTTACACCACACCAACCAAAACACACATCACATATACATATATGCATATAGGTAGATATATATACAACAAAGACACACAGTTTATATACATATATATATATATATGTTGGTAACACATTTGCATGGTAAAAACGTGGATGTAATGTGTATGTATATGTGCTTTGCTTACTATTCTTTTGCTGAACTCGATTCCTGCAACTACAAACGGTGTGACTCCAGCTGCAAAATGGTTCACATAAGAACTCTCCCTCAAAAAATAGTTTCTTTTAATGGGTTACCTACTTAATTATTTCTTTAATTACCTATAGTCCCGGCTATAATTTGCCACGTAATCTCTACTTTGCCGGGCTCCGCCGCCACCCCAGCAGCCACGTCACCAACCGACGCAAACGCTGCCGGCGCTCTGAGATGCCGATTTCCGATCGAGCGGTGGCGTCTTGTGGGAGAAACGAAACTAACCGTTGATTTACTCTGGGTGGCTCTTGATCCGACGGTCCATAGAGACGGAACGCGACACAGTGAAACCTCCATTGTTGCAGGGAGTAAAGTTTTCTCCTTTTTTTTTCCTCCTCCGCCAGAAGAAAGAATAGAAAAAAGGGTCGAGATTCGCGTGGAGGAAAACGACCCGTTTAAATCGGGCCACGTCGGCGTTTCTCGGGTCGGGTCCTCGCCAACCACATGAAGAATCGATGTGAAAGCTCACGATTGTGGATTAATTGGCAAAATCTTAAAAAATTGAATACGTGACAAAACACGAAACGACAACACCTCTCTGTGTTTTCAAAATTTCAAACAAACACGAACGTCTTCTCCTCTCCTCCGGTTTCTTTCTTCAATCGCGAGTAAATCTCTCGGTTTCTTCTTACAAAATCATCTTCTGTCGGCATAAATGGCTTCGTCTTCGGTTTCTCCTTCGGTTACTACTTCGGTTTCTGCTTCAGAAGATCTATAGGTACGGTACACACCGAGAAAACTGATTGCGTCGTTCGTCCCCTCTTTGTCTTCGTGTTTATGTGTTTGTTTCGGGTTTAAACTCCAACAGAGTAATGTTCGAGTTGTTTGGGTTAGAAAAATTGGGGTTTTAGGTGAAAGATGGAGATTTTCAGAAAGACGAGTTAATGGAAGTCAAATTTTTTGGTCAGACGGTTATATTGCTCGAGTTAGTCAGACCCATGAAATGGACAGACCAATGAAATGGTCAGACCAGTGAAATGGTCAGACTCGTGAAGTGGGCAGACCAGTGAAGTGGTCAGACCCGTGAAATGGTCAGACCCGTGAAGTGGACAGACCAGTGAAGTGGTCAGACCCGTGAAGTGGTCAGACCAGTGAAGTGGTCGGACCAGTGAAGTAGTCAGACCTAGCTAGGGATGGCCAATTCGGGTTTCGGTTCGGGTTCAGTTCGGTTATATTCAGATTCGGTTATTTTGGTTATAGAAAAACTATAACCATTCGGTTTTTATATAAATTCCGGTTCGGTTCGGTTATTTTTCGGTTCGGGTTCGGTTCGGTTTTGGTAAAAAGTTCAATTTTCCAAAGAAAATGTCGGTTATTCTCTCGATTTTTTCGGTTATTTTTTATTCGGTTCGGTTCAGTTTCGGTTTCGGTTTTTCGAGTTTAAGAAAATCATAACTGTTCAGTTTTGATGTCGGGTTCGGTTCAGGTACGGTTATGTCTTATTCGGTTCGGTTCGGCTCGGTTATTCAGTTAATAACCGAAATGACCACCCCTAGTCAGACCCATGAAGTGGTTAGACCCATGTTGTGGTCAGACCAACGAAGTGGTCAGACCGATTAAATGATCAGACCCGTGAAATGGTCATACTTCACTGGTATGACCAGATTTATAGTCATCATAGTCTGTCTTGTCAATGTAATATATAAAACTGATCATGAGAGTTAATCTAATTGTTGCAGGTCCCTTTTGTGTATGATTTCAAGGATATTCAACATACTCCAAAGATCTCGACGAAATGTTATCTATTTCAGATCACAAGATCTCTAAGAAAGACTTTAACAAACGAAGAATTGACATATTTCAATACAAAGTCTCAATTTCGTCACATTTTTCATACGAAATGTGAAGAGACGTTGAAGATGGTGCCAGTGTCTATTCTTATACGCCGTGCATTAAGGTTGGAAGGAGAGGAAAAAGAGTTTTGGTTTGTTGTAAATGGCGTCCCCATCAGATACTTGATCCAGGAACATGTCATTATCTCTGGCTTAAACTGTGACAACTATTCAGAGGGCTGGACTAAATGTAAGGGAAGCGAATTTCGGAAAAAAAAAAAACATTCGGAACTTCAAAAGTGACCATAGAAGGTGCATTAAAGAAGTTGCGCGAAACTCCACATGCAAATGTGGAGGAAAGAAAGAGATTAACAATAATTGTATTGCTAGGCGGAGTATTGGCTCATGGTGCCAAGAGCAATGATGTCATAAACAGTGACTTAGTGGACATGGTCGAAAGTCTTGACTTCTGTGAAGGGTTTACGTGGGGAAGATACACCTTCGATAAGATTAGCGATCAGATTCGGAAATTGTATAATAGCGGTCCTAAACCGAAAGACAATTGGCATTGTCCAGGATTCGTAATACCACTTATGGTGAGTTATATTTTGTACCAATGTTTGTAATGTAAATTAGTATTTGAGTATATTTATTGAGGGATATAATGAATTGGTTTGTATATTGCAGTTTCTTCCTTTCGAATGCATCAAAAGTTTAGGCGCAAATGGATGGTATATCGATGTTGACGGTGCCGATCCGACTTGTCCTAGGATGTGCAAGAAACGCATCAAACCGGATCTTTTTATGACATGCAAAGGTGTATAAACAGATTGGCGATACCTCAAAGGTACGTATTAATTTGGTCATTTCTTTTGTAGTGTCACCAGTTGGATTGGTCTGACCAATTGAATTGATCTGACCAATTGAATTGATTAGACCAGTTTGTGTTTAGTATGACCAATTACAAATTGGTCATACCTGTCATAATGTACTCACACGAACCATTTTTTTCAGGGATTTCGAAGTGTTCTTCAAATAGACAACAATGAAGAACATATTCTTTTGAATATGTATGTTGAACCAAGTAGTCATCCAGTGGTGCAGAGTTGGATGCAACGGTTGAATGAAGATCCAACAAGTATTTGTTTCCAGAAAATTCTTGCGCTCGATGTCAATGCCAGAGGCTCTGGGAATAGAGCATAGAGGAAGAAAAAAGGCAAGGAAAAGATTCAAGAAGAAAGAGAAGAGGAAGAAAAAGGAGGGGAAGAAGAAGAAGTTAGAAAAGATGAAGAAGAAAGGCAAGAACGAATACCGATTTGGTTTTGAAAGGATGTTAGAGGAGGCAATAAAAGCCTCTGAAGAAAGGATTGCCGAAAATGTTGAAAAAAGAATAATTGCAAAGGTGGAAAGAATTTTGAAGATGGCAGGCGTTAGTGTGGAAGTATTGAACTGGTCTACAAAAGTGAGAGTTCTTCACCACGTGATGCTTCAGTGGGGAGATCGTACAACATGAATATTGACTTCCTGTTCAAACCTCTTGCTTTCCAGCCAAATGAGATTTTCTCACCACCCGAGCAAGGTATGTTCACACTTAAATTTTACTTTCTTTTTTTCGTCAGACAAAACTCCGAATAAGTCTAACTAGTTGGACCAATTTAGAATGGTCAGACTAGTCCGACTTATGTGCGTTGATGAGTCTGACCAAATAAATCCGACGGTATGACCAATTTAGAGTGGTCAGACTAGTCCTACTTACGTGGGTTGATGAGTCTGACCAAATAAATCCGACGGTGTGATCAATTTAGAATGGTCAGACCAGTTATAGTTATGTGAGGTAATGAGACTGACCAAATAAGTCCGAGGTGTGACCAATTTAGAATGGTCAGACTAGTTATACTTATGTGGGTTGATGAGTCTGACCAAATAAGTCCGACGGTGTGACCAATTTAGGATGGTCAGACCAGTTATACTTATTTGAATATAGGATTGAGTTATATTATTTTAATTGATCTTTTGCAGATTCACATGAGCATGAAGTTTTCAATGCATTGAACATGAGCATGAAGCTGATGATGAAGAAAGGATTTCTGCTACTCCTCCAAGGCATATTGAGATCGATGCTGAGCATGTCGATGATACTGGAGACCTACCTCCTAAGGAGGATGTATCAAAGAAGGATGCAGAGGATGCATCAGAGAAAGGTGCGGAGGATGCATCAGAGACCAGTAAAGAGAATGCAGAGGATAAATCTGAGAGGAGTGTGGAGGATGCATCAAAGAAAGGTGAGAAAAATGCAGAGGATGCGGAGGAGAAGGGTATGGAGGATGCATCAGAGAAAGGTGAGGAAAATGCAGAGGATGTGGAGGAGAAGGGTATGGAGAATGCAGATAATGCATGCATTAGAGAAGTCTGATGAGGAGGATGCATCAGAGAAAGATGAAGAAGAGAAGGGTGCAAAGAAGGATGTTGAGGATACATCGAAACAGAACTTGGAGGTTCCAACTGGAAGACCCAAACGCAAAAGAAAACAAACTATCAAGATCAGTCCATACGTTGCATTTGGTTCGGCTAATGTACAACCCAAAAAGCAAAGAAAGAAGAGAGAGACCAAAAACCAAAAGGTGGACAGCGAAGGTACGATCTCTGAACCTCTTGTACCAAAAGAGAAGTCGGTTTATATATGGTATTCGAAAGAGCCCGTAATTGATGGTTGTCCCTTCCGCGATGAGAGTTTTGTTCAAACAAGTACTCTCAAAGCTACTGCGTTGTTCAACTTTATGAAAAAACCAAGTGAAGAGAGACTTTGGAGATCGGGTCTGAATGTGATTAGGCCATCACAGTTTTGGGAAGATCTTCTAACGGAAGGCGTATGGCTCGATAACAACGTAAGCGTTGTAGTCATAAACTTTTAAATTTACGTTTTTTGTGGCATTAAGCTTCTGACTTGTATTTTTTTTTGTTTTTACAGCATATGGACGAAGCATTACATGAGATACGGAACCGTATTGTGAATAGTGGAAGTGCACAAGAGACGCGGAAGTCCTTCTTTCTTTGCGACGTTCAATGCATTGAAAACTTCAAATGGTGGGAATCGGGCCGGACAGAGCTCGGAGAACTTGAAAAATACATCACTGGCGAGTTACCGTTTGATGGTAGGAATAAAAGATTGGACCGGTACAAAGGTTTCGTTAGTGTGGTGAACATTCCGTCTTTGCAGAATCGTTTTGTTAGCGTCCACTGGATCACCATTAAAGTGGATTTTCAGGAATCATTGATTCAAGTATTTGACTGCAACCGGAAGATGAAGGAAGCGACACTTAAAGTGATAAGTCATTTATCCAGTGTAATTTCAGAGATCTTTGCATTGTGCGGTAGCGGATTCATTGACTTCACAAGGAAGTTTATGATTGATATCGTCCAAGACCTACCTCATAATGAAACCGGAAATGAATGCGGCTTGTACTCCTTGAAGTTCGCGGAAGCACTCATGAAGGGTGAAGGGAACCTAATTGTCACAGATGAATCAAGTGATGTATTATGTATGTGAAAAGATTACAACTGATATATTTGCTAATGGAGAGATAGTCACGGTGCATCCATCTTAGTCATGTATACGACTTGTACTTCTTTTTAATTATTTGTACTTGTTGAACTTTTTTTTAATCATTTGTACTCTTTAAACCTCTTTCTAATCATTCTAATTGAACTTCAAATGGTGAGAATCGACTGATTGATCACACGAATCGTTTGAATTTAATGCGGCTTGTACCCGAATGGTCAGACGGTCAGATGGTCATACCATGGTTAGACGGTCAAACCTGTTCGAAATTGCAAGATTCATCGGTTTAAAAAATTATATTAAACTCATATAATCATATGATAATATGGTCAAAGTAGAGATATCAAATAGAAATATGAAAATACGAATTTAAAAATATATTACACCCACATAATCAAACTCGTTTACCAAAATCGTCGAGACGGTCATACTCTGGTCAAACAAGTCATACCAAATACAAAATCAGAAATACATTTCACCCACATGATCTTATGACAATGATATGTTGGCTGAACCTATCGAACATGTGTTCTTTTTTCGAGCATCGCCAGGTCCAGGAAATCGGTTTTGTTTAGGCCTTCCAATTTTTTGTCTTTGTTCCACTATGGGCGGTAAAACTGTCATATTTGCAACGTCAGGTGGAATGATCCAATAACTACAATCAGGAACTGGATACACTGTCTCTTGATAGGTCGAACGCCATGTCTCGCGCAAATAGTATGCAGAACATAATTCGTATATCATATCGGCTTTTCTGATCGTATGTGCAGCTGCAATTGCATGACTGCAAGGGTACCTATCCACGTCAAACATTTTACAACTGCACGTTCTAACTCCAAGATGAACCAAGTGTCTTCTACCTTTGTCATCCCTCACCTCGAACTCGCCACTAATATGATTCAGTTCTTGAACCTCAAATGTACATGCTTTCTCGTATCGTTCATGTAGCTCTTTGTAAACAAACGGTGTTAACTTTTGCGATTGATCACCACTACCGGCTTCCAATCTGTACCTATTGAACCATTCCACCATATTTTCGAGACAAATATCTAGCAGACATAGCAACGAATACTTTTTTGCCTTCTTCAAGACGGAGTTAATCGATTCGGCTCCGTTAGTAGTTAACAAGTTATACCTTTCACTCTTGAATTTACACCTTGCCCATTTTTCGGGTGCAAGTTCTTCCTTTTCCATATATTCAGCCACCTTGTGATATATACAAAGGGAATATCGCCATAAAAACCCTGTACTCTTCCCAGGTCAACGGAAAAACCCTGTAATTCACCGAAAACCCCCCGCGCCTGCCAACTCAAATAAAAATGATAATGTGGCAATAACTTGGTTTCCAAGTTATGTACACATCATCAAAATTGTGACACATCACCGTTACAAACAAAAATAAATTACATAATTATTTAAATTAATTTATATACATATAAATTCACATATATATATATATATTAAATATATATTAAATATAAATTACTTATAACTAATAAAACACACATTATAAATTATATTAAAAATAATATATATATATATACATATTATTTTGTTAATATATATTGTATATATATTATTTTTTAATATATAGTGTATATATTAGTTATAATTACTTTTATTTTGAATCAATATCAACAAAAATAACCAAGTAGTACTTGCTGATACATATGTATTAATAAATATATATATATATATATATATTATATAGTATAACTAATACATATACATATTACAACAAAAATAATTATAACTAACACATACACATATAATGTATCTATTAAAAATAATATGTATATATATATATTAGTTATACATGTAACATATATATATAACTAATATCCATATTAAAATAAAAGTAATTATAACTAATATATATACAATATATTAAAAAAATAATATGTATATATATATTATTTATAATTATATTATAAATAATATATATATGTGTGTTTTATTAGTTATAAGTAATTTATATTTAATATATATTTAATATATATATATATATGTGAATTTATATGTATATAAATTAATTTAAATAAATTATGTTATTTATTTTTATTTAAAATGATGATGTGTCATAATTTTGATGATGTGTACATAACTTGGAAGCCAAGTCATTGCCACATCATCATTTTTGTTTGAGTTGGTAGGCGCCGGGGGTTTTCGGTGAATTATTAACAAGTTTGGAATTTTTTTGGTTAATCATACTAAGTATAGGGTTTAATTGGTAAACAAAAAAGTACAGGGTTTTTTCGTTGACCTGGGAAGAGTGCAAGTTTGATCACCATTACCGGCTTCCAATCTGTACCTATTGAACCATTCCACCGTCTTTTCGAGACAAATATCTAGCAGACATAGCAACGAATACTTTTTTGCCTTCTTCAAGACGGAGTTAATCGATTCGGCTCCGTTAGTAGTTAACAAGTTATACCTTTCACTCTTGAATTTACACCTTGCCCATTTTTCGGGTGCAAGTTCTTCTTTTTCTATATATTCAGCCACCTTGTGATATCTACAAATTATGAGATATATTCACATAAGTTCACAAATAAAAGCAGTAAAACTGGTCAGACCAGATAAACCGGTCATACTAGTAACAAGAATCGTACATTTTCTTCAGATTATTGTAAAGCACTTCAAAATCGTTGATCGTGTATGCGGCTGCGCATACAAAGAACAATTTACTGATAGTCTCACCAGTTGAACTTTTTTTTCTTGCACCTTTGTTACAATGGACTTTTAAGTTCTGTGATATATGCCTCACACAAAATTCATATTGCGCTTGTTTGTATACTTCTCTCACAGCTTTGATTATACTTTTATGTCGATCAGATGACACAACTATATCGGGACCATCCGGTATTACTTCGCTCAATCTTGTCATAAACCACAACTATGAGGCATCCTTCTCTCTATCAATCACACCCCAAGCCAAAGGATATTGGTGATGATCACCATCTTGAGCAGTTGCCACGACTGATGCTCCTTTATATTGGCTCGTCAGAAATGTTGCATCAATAGCAATCACTTTACACATATACTTCCATACATTTATGGTTGCACCTAAGGCAATGAAGAGGTACTTGAAGCTTTTACGATCATCGTCTAACTGAAGACTCACTCTAGTTCCAGGATTTCTTTCTGTCAACATGTACAACCAACCAGGAAGTCTACTGTAGTGTTCCTCATGACGACCACGAATCTCTTCTTAAGCACTATGTTTTCCTCTTAATGCCATCATATACGATATTGTCGCACCGTATTTCATTTTCATCCATTCTACTATCTGTTTTGGTGTAGGAGTTTCAAGCTTACTAGAAAATTCTTCCTTCAAATAATCTCTAACCAACATCGATGAACCCTTCGTACTTGTTTTGACTTTGGCTACAGGTCTGCAAGTATGAGTTACACTAAAATGTGTGGAATTCAAAATCGCTGCGATGCGCAATCTCTAGTTACAACCTGAACCTTGAAACTTGCATCTTAAATCCCATAATTTCTTAGTAGACTTCACTGTCACAAAACCAAAACATGCATTAACCGCACCCTTCCGTACATATTCTTGTGCTGCTTCCTTGCTTTCAAATTCGTAGCCAATACTAAAATTCAATCCATCACTGAAATTGAATACCGAAATAGAAAACGATGTGTCCTCCGTACCTACTAATGCCAAATTATTCTCACCATCAACATCATTACCAAATGATACAAAACCATCGACTTTATTGGTTTCACATGCCATATCGATTGCATCATCTCCATCCCTATCTCTTTCACCATCAACATCTCTTAAAACAGTTGCATGTTCTTCATCCATTCCATGTTCTCCTAAAACAATAGTTTGTTCATAATCTGAATCACTTATGATTTGTATAATATTACTCGCACCTTTACTCTTGAATTCAGGACTCGCAATAATGTTGTGTTTACCAACATCTACACAAATCACAGCCCCATGTGGTCTATGTGATGGCCCAACACCACTGGCGAAAACTGGAACAAAACATTCTCCACCATGTTTTTGTCCAACTTCAACTTCCCCGCTCAAATTTACTTTTTCAATCTCCATATATAACATGCTTCTTCCTCCGTTGAATTTATCCATCAGATAAACAAATACTTGTTTGTCATTTGATACGTAAACCGGCTCAACATATCCTTTTATTGTAGGCAAATAACTAGCTTGATTTTGGATTTATCTCCGTCTATATCCATGTCAGAATATAGCTCTTCAACAAGGCGGCTGTAACTCAAATCAATCGGATGACAAGGGTATATCACTCCTTTAGGATCTTTAGCTTTTCCTTCTCATTCATATGCTCCGATCGAATTTACTACCCACTTGCCACCAGATTTATAATAAATAATCGTTACTCTCTCATTAGTTGCATCCATTATACCTGTATAAAATAAACACAAAATGTTATAAACTGATACACTTGAAAAATGTCACATGTTTGATGAGTATGACCAGTTTGACCAATTTTACAAGTATGACCAATTTGACCAATTAGGAGTATAACCAGTTTGACCAGTTAGGAGTATGATCAGTCTGACCATTTCGACACGTATATGTTACCAGTTTCCCGAATTCTCCCATTTTAACGAATTTCACAAATATAATGATTTCGACCAGTTTGAATAACGTGAATCATGGTATTGCTGATATATATGTCATTTTTGCTTCGAACATATTCATATGGATTAAATATAAAAATGATAAAATAATAAATCACAAATGCCCAAACTTAATAACGAAATTTAGAAACAGTACTTACCTGTTATTCAGATCTGTGTTTAATCGATGAAATGCCTAAACTTAATATTGTTTTTTCGCAACAAATTAGTTGAAAAAAAGACTGGAGATGAAGAGAGCTTGAAGACTACCGAATGGGAGAGAAGAGAGCGCGAATGAAAAAAAGACTGGAGATGAAGAGAGCTTGAAGACTAACGAAGAGAGCGCGAATGAGGAGAGAGAAGCGGGAAAGGAGAGAGAGAGCTGAATTTTTTTTTAATTTAATAATAAATAAAAAATGAAGGGTATTTTTGGAAGTATATAATTATAAGGTTATCACATGAGGTTGTCTTTTTTTTTTAAGTGGAGATCATGGCGTGAAGTAAAAATGACATTTAAAGTCATTTTTACAATTCCCCCGGATTAGTTTCAACGCATTAACGACGTCGTTTTCACTCCGGCTTTCTCTGGAAATGTTGAAACTCCATTAACGTTGTTTCCAAGCTCATAACCTCAAAAGCTAAGCGAGTTCGACCCCATGACCAACCTTTAACTAAAAAAAAGCTAAGCCCTTGAATTTTTTGTATTGTAAAGCAAGTGAAAAAAATGTGGTGCAATGGAGAGAAGGTGACAAAGACATGTATTAGGTTCGATTTCACTGGTGAAAAAACATGTAATTTCTAGATAAAAATAGTTTATATACAATGGCAGTTGGTCTAGATCTAGATGGATGTAGTCGACCCAATGCCGGAAAACTATCCTGCTTATAAAAAAACAAAACAAAACAGAGGAATAAAAGTTTCCGCAACATAAACTTCATTCGATAAACAACACGTGTATGGATACACCTACTTGGAACAAAATAAAAAAACTGCCGAATGGAAGGTACATAAAAGCACAAACTACGTTACGGATAACTGTCCTGAAACTGAAACATACAAACTGCTGTATCGACCCACTCCAGCTTCTTAAACCGATCCTTGAACTATCTTCTGCACCAGACTTGAACCAGCAGAACCGAGGTTTCAGAATATTAAGAGGTGGTGGGTTTTCACACAAGGATGTTTTCTAATGGCGGATGGCGAACTGGAACCAACACCAGGTCATTCTTCCTTCTAACAGTGAGTCCGTAATTCTCTGTCATGTCAAGCTCTTCCGGAGTTGTTCCGTCAGTGAATCTCCAGTCGAAGTAGTACAGAAGCTCTGCAAGTGGAAGTTCGATGTCTGCAATGGCGAAAGATATCCCAGGGCATATCCTTCTTCCAGCTCCAAAGGGTATGTACTGAAAGTCTGATCCTTTATAATCCACCGACCCCTCGCCCAAAAACCTGTCCGGACAGAATCTCTCGGGATCTTTCCAGTAGTTCGGGTCCCTATGGATGGCCCATGCATTGGTCAGGACTCTTGCTTTCTCTTGTACCTCGTACCCTTTGATCGTGCAGCTTTTCCTGCACTCTCTTGCTACCAACAATGGCGCAGAAGGGTGAAGCCTTAGTGTTTCTTTCACTAGCGCTTTGAGAAACTTCATCTCGTGGATGCTTTTCTCGCCAACTCTCCCTGTCGAGTTGAAAACATTCCTGACTTCGGCTTGTGCTCTTTGAAGAAGTTTAGGGTTCTTCAGAAGCTCTGAGATCGCCCATTCGGTTACCGTGGATGATGTCTCACTCCCTGCTGAAAAGACATCCTGTATGATACAGTAATAGGAGATCAGAAATATCCAGGTAAAGGTATATGTATGTTCAGATTCTTTGGGAGAAATCAAGAATGTGTTATGGACCTGTCTCATTCCTGCGTTATGAGGCGAAAACCCTTACATGTATAACTGCTTTGATATTTATGTCTGAAAGTTGAAGCTCCTGCTGCTGCTGAAGCCTTAATAAAACATCGACGAGATCTTCTTCCCCATGAAATCCTTCACCTTTCTTCTCTCTGTGATCCTCGAGAATTCCCTCCAGTATCTGATCCGCCTGCTGGTGCAGCTTCTCGAGTTTCATCCTCGAAATGCTAATCCACTGAAGCATTTGGCATGAAGGGTACAAATCGGCCAAGCAGAAACCGGAAGCCAGCTTCGTGGATTCAGAAATGCACTCCACGAACACTTCTTGGCCTCTGCTTCTACCTCCAAAGGCTGCTCTAGAAGTTATGTTGTACATCAACGAGAAGATCATCTTGCTGAGATTGATGGGCGACCCTTCCTTCGAAGCTATCACCTTAACAAGATTCTCCACCTCAGATTCTCTGATGGGTCTGAAAGATTCGACCCGTTTACTGCTCAGAAGCTCCACTATACAGATCTTCCTCAGCTGCCTCCAGTAATCACCATAGGGCGAGAAGACAATGTCCAGAGCATTGTAAGCAGTTATCTTTGACACAAGAAGATCGCGTGGTCTCTGTGCAAATACTGTGTCATGAATTTTCATCACTTCTTTGGCCACTTCTGGTGAAGAAACCACCACAACTGGGTTTTCACCAAGCTTTAGTTGCATCAGAGGTCCATACTTATCAGCCAAGTCCCTTAGCTTCTGATGAGGACACGAACCGATCAGATTATGAATGTTTCCCAGAAACGGAAGCTTATACGGACCAGGCGGTGGGATTTTGCTGGTGTTTACGGATTTGGGTCTGCGAGTTATGACTCTCAGAAGGTTTATGGAGAAGAGGAATGCAAAGAACAGGAACAGAGCTTGAAACTGAAGTTCCATGGCAGAAAGGAAAACAGAGCAGCAGCAGCAGAAGAAGAAGAAGAAGAAGAAAACGTTTGATGAAACCGTCTGGATTTAAAAAAAGCACTCAAAAGGAAACTCGATTTTCTGATTATAAAGTGTGTTTGTCTGTCTAAGGCGGCAGCCGCTACGTGTCTGCATGGGAACACAATGAGGTGTGATTTGAGGGTTTGGCGGCAATTTGGATAAGATCAGACCAAAGCGTTACCGATTTCTTAGACACGCACTACTTGTGTGGCTTAGAACAAATCCAACCACACAGACACATCACAATGTGTGTGTGAGACAGTTTTGTGTATTGGTATATAATCTCAAGACATTCACACAAATATTGTTAATAATAATTCTGGAAATGCAGGTAGAGAACGTGAACTAGAGAATACTGGCAATGGCATTACATGCAGATACAGCTTTGTTACAAGTGATACAGAGCTAGGAGCCAACAAGTCCAAATGAGATAGTCTCAGATCATAAACCCTAAATTCCCATTCCTAAAATCCTATGCTTAGATATGGTTAAAACAAACACATAACCACCAAAATCTAATAACCCCCTTCAATTTTCTGTACAACCTACCATTATCCCCCCCGAAGCCAACCGAGCCATGCCCAAAACAAAAACCACAGAATGACTTCAGCAAGCCCTGCCATTCATTTATGTACAAAATTATCAAAGTTTCAGAATCATAGAGGGCGCATACCTTTATATATCATCATACATCATCATCGTCATCATGATCTCAAAAGCACATCTTTATGTTGTCACCAGCATGGTAGTAGTCTTTGAAAAGGGCATTGGCCACTTTTGCCTTCTGCCCTTCTCATTGTTAAGAAGGGTAGCAATCATTCTGATCTATTGTCCGTTTCATGGTTGCCACCCGTATTACTGTTGTTACTCGAAATCTCTTTATCTTCTTTCGAAGATTGGATTTGGACATCTTCCACACCGTCTCCATCATCCTTTTTCTCTTTGCTCGTTTCCATTGGAAGGTTATTCCCTGAAGGGCACTCGGGTTTTGCTTCCTCGAACATATTTAGCACAGCAACAGGCTCGTCCGGTTTGGCATATTTCGAAAGAGTGGATGACATGGACACCTTGGCTTCCGGACTAACAGCAGAAGATACAATAGAGAGTAGTATTTCAGGCTTAGGATTGATATCAACCCAGCTGCTCCCGACCCAATCCCGGGATATCCTTACATCCCTTTTGTGTATGGTTAAAAATAAGCTTTCTCCTAACATCATAACGAGAAGACAACGGTTAGCTCTAATGAAAACCTAGAGAAAATGGAGGCATAGAAGGGACGGCCAGGAAAAGAAAAGAATGGAAACATATTCAATAATATACCAGGGACATAAACTTGCAAGTTCTCTACGTCTGGGTTGTCCACTGATGTCACAACACCTTCCCACCAGCCATCACTCCACCATGCATCAACAGCTGTTCCCACTGTGGGAACACTGTTTGATGTTCTAACATCAATGGGTGCAGGCCGAATTGTTGGACGGTTAGAGGACCTTATACCGAGCTTATCAGGCATGACAAACTTAAGAGCCGGCACCCATTCCTATTCATAACAATAAGAAACAAAAAAAATTTTGAAAAAATGATCTTATCATTAGAAATCAGGAGAACATAAATCAGGTTAAAAACCAATTAAAATCTTAGCTTTCTGTCATATAGTTATCAACTTCCACGATGCAACAGGTATGGAAACTTTGAAATAGCTAAAAAGTTCGTGAAATAAATAACTGACATACCTCAAGGTTCCCATATCCATCTTCATCCAGTATATCATCATACTGGACTTTTATCCGTTTCCGGGAAACTTCAAGAACAGTGCATCTAAACCAGCAGCCCCTTATACCACTATCTTGACACATCAACTCTATTTTTGCATCAGCCTTAAGCATTCCATTGTACCAAGCATGTTTCCCAACATTGATCAGGGAAAGAAACCCCTCGCCTGATCCACCATGCTTGAGTTTCTTGCGTGAAGATTCATACGTTATCGATCGATATTCAGAAATCCGTCTCACTTGTTTTTTCTTGGTCCTCTTTGTACCTGTCTGTACATGCTCACCCTCACAATGCTCCCCGTCCTCTCCATTCAGGGCATGGTCTACAGGATCAGCCTCCAACAAAGGGGCAGAAGTCAAGCAAGACATAATGGGTTGGTCAAAGTATCCGCGCAATTTACTCAAGTCAAAAGGTTTGACTTTATTGTTCCTTAGCTGCCTAAAGCACATATATACCCTTCCTAACAGAGAAGCAGGGAAAGAAGCCATACACTCCTCATAATGCTCCCGGTTTAAGACAGTGGCAGGACCATCAACACATTCTGCACTGATGACCTGTGAATGAGGTGTGATGAAAACCTCTTTTGGATTCGGGTTTTTAAGAGAAACAGCACCCTTCACTTCTTCCGTGGTGTGAAACCACCTCACTTTGACCTTTCTCTGGCCTCTCTTGTCCTCATACATATCTTCGAGATACGCAATATAACGGTCCTCCCCCTTTCCCATGACAAAGACAAAAGATTGAACCTGGAAATCCAAAAGAAGAGAAAGCATGTCTTCCATTAAGCATGGAGCTCAAAGAATCCAAGTCCTAAAAACTTCAAAGAACAACGCAGTAGGAAAACATAGCAGCACGCAAATTCAAACTTCTTAAGAAAGCATGTCTTCCAGTAAATATGATGCTCAACGAATCCAAGGTTCAGCTCACCTTTATCAACGTACCATTCCTGCAAAAGGAAGGGTAATGTTTGAGCTGTTTACCACAAATCCAAGAGGTTCCTGACCAAACAATCTCCCAATTGTGTACACTCAAGCTAAGGGGAGGGCGACCCTGTAATAGAGTCTTCTCTGTGAGCATTTCAGGTTACAAGAGTATAATGAGAAACTGTACAGGAAACAAGATTACCATCTCGTGAGTTTGCTGAACAATGGCTCCATTACTCGGCAATTCTGGAGATCCATTAGATTCCTCCGAATCACATTTTGGTGATTCTAAAACAACAACCAAGCAAATGTGTCAAATACAAAGATAAATGAGACTCGTTCATAAGGGAACGAAGAAATCATTCATCACATAGCATCAACTTCATCCGCTGCTAATACGGAAGAAGAATGGCCATTGCGAGATCAAGATAAGCACATACTCGACCAGTTGCCTTGTGAATTCTGCTTAGACAGCATTGAAGTTAGCCAATCCACAACCTCTCTTCTTGATCTCCATTTGAACCCAGCATGGATCGAATTCCCAGCACCATGAACACGCACAAACTCCTCCGAAACAACGTAAAACATGTGCCTAACACTCCTCTCAGTACCCACCACAGCTAGTATGGATTCACCAGAAGAATCCTTCAGAAAATAATGAACAATACGATTTCCACGCTCCTGTGATACAAAATGTTCCTTCCACTCGACGAAATGCCGACCATTCTCACACATTGTTGAAGCTACAAAAAGGGTTCCAAAACAGCACCAAAGACCCGGCCCGGAACCCTTCTTACGTCACACAAAAATCTACCAACGAAAAGAAATCTGGCATCGTTTCAGAGGTCTGAGGTCCCGTGGAAACCCTAAGGCAAGTTTTCAACTTTCAAGAGCTCCAATGCATAGTTTCAGAACAATAGCCTTGCTCTATATTACAACTTCTAGAGAAAAAAACTAAGAAAAAGGTATTATCTATCCAAACGAAGATCGAAGCATTGATCGTGTAAGAACTACGGAAACAGCTCAACCGTGGAATTCCCTGCTGATTTCCAGCTTCGGGAATCAAATAACCCTGACGAAGAAGAAGTGGGGATTAGAAGAAACCGAGAAGAACCCAGAAAGCGGAGAGCTGTGAATATCTGCCGACAGATCAGAGACGAAGTCGAACAAACAGTGATCCAAGCTCGAGAGCGCCGAGAGGCACCAAGCCACAGCTTTGACTGCGTAGATTAGTCGGAGCATCGCGAAAAAGAGATAGACACATCAAACTCCAACAAGAGAAGGTGGTTCCAGGACTCAATCCGTAAAAAAAAAAAATCCAAGTTTCAGAGAAGAAGATTGACGCCTGACAAAAGCTCAAAAAAGCATCGAAATCTTGAGAACCGCGACCGATTTGGGAGATTGGAAAAAGGGTGAGCTAAGAAACACAGACGAAGAGGAAGAAAGCAAGGTCCGATTGAGGTAAAACCGAAGAAAATGGGGCATTTCCATGGATGTCCTCACGAGTTGCAGAAGTTTGGCGAGCAGCAGGTGAGAGACAAGAGACGAGAGAAATAAAATGTGAATTTACTCCGAAATTCAGAAAATATCCGGAAGCTTTTGGGCCGATTAGTAATTATGGGCCCATTATTAATAATACGAATTATTTTTCTTTCTTGCTATACATATATATATATATATATATATATATATATTGCAGAAATAGAATTCGACCTAATAAAATAATTGTAAATCCGTCATATTTGTTCAATTTGCTTTACCAATATTTCTTGTAAAATCATTCACATGAAACCGTACTTTCATTAGGTTATGTTTCAGTTTATACTATCTTTATTTTAGAAAAATTATTGGTGATTGTTTTTTATTATAAAATTTTTAGAATGATTTAAAACTTTATTTTATTCGGAGACAAAAAGAAATACGGTTTATCTCAACTCACAAAAAAAAACACTTGAGGTTCAGTTTGAATCGGTTTTGTATAATAACCGGAATAAATCGAATTAGATTGATAAACCGGGAGAAAAGATAGCCCTAACCGTAATGGGCTGGGCCGTGAAGCAAACAGATTACAGAGCGAGACAGCAATCTCCCTCTCGCTCGCTCTCACTCGTTTGGCCGCCGAGAAACTGAGAAGCAGGAAACGTTCAAAACCTTTACATTTTCTCGAGAAAAATTATATTTTTTTAACGGGAGGAAAACGGATGAGAAAATTTTAAAGATTTGTCCAGTATCGATTGTGAGAGAGAGGGAGATCGGTACATCCTCTTTAGCTGCGAAACCATCACGAGCAGCGGAAATCATCTGTATCGATGGCGGGGATAGCTTTGGTTTTAGATCTATTGAAGAAATCTCAAAGCTTTAACTCCAAACACAGCCTCCACTCTTCGGCGTTCTCGTCCGCCGCCGCCGCCTCGGCCGCCGCTGTCTCTGTGGCCGCCAGTGCTCCTTTCGCCTCCAGATTCCTCTTCGGGTATGTGTTCGTGTTTATATGTCTTTATGTACTGGTGCTCGGATCGGATTTGTTGACTTTCACATTTTGATTGGATCTTGGTTGATATCAGAACAGCTTCCATCTCGAGGTTTTGCTTTTAATTGTGATTAGGGTTTAAGGCTTAAAGGTGGGGCTCTTTTATGATAATCATTAAAAGCAATAGGTCGCTAATCCAAGGATTTATATCAACTACAACTGAGATCATCAATATATGGCACATTAATCCAAAGCTTTAGCTATCGATTAGATTACGGTAAGTTCATAGGATCACTGGATTAGATTGGTAGAAAATCTGGTTGAAGCTTAAGTTTGTATTTAGGACAAATCCCCAGCCTTGCAGGATTTCTAGAGATGGGTTTGATTGCAATATCAGCTATAACATTGGCTTGAGAGATTCAGTCATATGAACAAGTACTCAGTAATGGGTGTTTCTTGGAAAAGTTGATTGCACAAGTGAATGGCATAACTGGACTTGTTCATATGACGATGGAAGAAATTATGTTATGCTACCTAATTGTTCTCTTTTGGTTCAGTTCTTCTGTTGCTATATGCGTTGTTTTTTTAGGTTTCAGCCTTGTAATGATTCCTAGTGTTCACGGTGCAGTTCTTTCAATGCTCCGGTTGCTTATTGTGATGCTGCGGCAGCAATAGGCGATGATTATCTCGCTAGTTTAAGAAGATTATCAGCAGATGTGTTGCAGCATGACTCGATTAGGTACACTACCACTAAGGAGTACAAGGTGGAGCCAAAACCACTTTTCTCGGCCTTTGAGTTCAGGGCACTTGCAATGACAACATTGAGATCATTCTTGCTTTTCTATTTGCCACTGTTGGAGCCTAAAACCGAAGCAGAGGATGATGATGATTTCCTAAGGGATCCCCCAGAACAACGGTCTGTGGATTTGGTTGTTCCATTTAAAAATTCGGTGAAGCAAATTGCTCGTGAGGTAAGTTGTCCTAAATTCGACCCTTTTGTTCCGAGCATCTGAACCCTTTGCTAGTAAGGTTTGACCCTTTTGAAACAAACCTTTTGTACCCAAAGTTCCTGCTTTCCCTAGTATACCTCAAATCAGTTTACTGAAGCCAACCCCTGGTTGATTCTCCTGTGGTAAGTTCCCTGAACTCTTTATGCCTAAGCATCCATCTTGCGAAATGGAACAAAGTGTCATCGTATTATGTCCCAAGCAAGTTGAGATATACATTGAACCATGCCCATAGTAGACCCAGAACATAGCATTCCCAGTAGAAAATTATAATTTTTGTAATAGCTTCATGGTATCATTTTTGTTTTGACTTGCAATGTTCGATATTATGACTCAGACTACAGTTGTGACTATTCGGAGACTCCTTGAAAGGCTGGCTTTGCATTATGTCTCACAGCGTATGGCATGGAAACTTCTAAAGGGTAATCTTAGAACCACATCTTCTCTTTCTCCCACTGCTTTTGCTACTGCAAAAGAATTAATCGTTTCTGATATATGGCATGGAATTCATTAGACAAAAATGCCTAGTGAACTGATGGAGTCCATAAATATATGTGCAGATGTACCTAAGTCGACTCTACGCAAGGCTGAGAGAGGATTGCTCACTCATGTCTACATCTTTAGAGTCAGTAGAACAACTCTAAGAGGTAATAGTAAAGAAAAGTTCAGTTGCTCCACAACATTTTGATACATGCCCTTGTCTGTTTGGACTTTGGATTCATCCTGTTGTATAATTCTGAAATGCTTAACCACAATCGCAATCATCAAATCTGTATATGCAGGACACTGCCTAGGTGTTGCTGCAGCATGGATAGTCCAAGTGGGTATAGAAACATACCGATGTCTCTCCCCTTGTATTAGACGTGTTAGACCCAACAAAGACGAGAATCCAGAGGAGGAAGAGGACCAGGTCGAGGTTACAGAACAAGCTAAGGTTCTGGGGAAGAAAATCGCGGGTATAACAGTTAGATGCGGTGCTTCACTAGTTTTCGCTGCTATCGGAGCTGGCATTTGTGCCTGCATTATCCGTCCCTCCACCGGGCAGTGGATTGGTAAGCTCATAACTCTTCCCTATTCATCAAAACGACAAAACCAACATGGTCGAGTTTCCATTTCCGAGTTTTAATGCTATGTTTTTTGTTCCCGCACAGGCTGTGCATTGGGCGACTTGGCTGGTCCGGTCATTGTTACGATGTTCTTTGAGACAACTCGTCGGTCTGATCTCTAAACCCTTCTCGGAAAACACATCTACACGATGATCCAAGAATCTTGGAACTTGTTTCTTGATATTTAACATTTGTCATTTGATGAACTCAGGACCCATAATGTATCTGTTTTTTTAAGACACAATAAGATTCGAGTAACTTTCGAACTCAAATTGTTTGTTATAAAGAGGAACACAAACAGTTCCGGCTTCAAGCATATGAAGGTGCATGAGTCTAACATTTACATGAACGAGTCTAACATTTTAGGTCTAGAGTTCGGTCCTATAGGCCTTTTTTACGGGCTCGAGCCAGGTTTCAGGACAGAATCTGTCGTGAGCCCAATGCTTGAGGAGGAGTTTATAGAGGAGGGTGAGGTAAATGGGCACCTATAGTGGGCAAGCCCATGGACCTACTTTTTTAAATATCTATGACTTATTAGCTATTTCCTTTAATTTTTATTTTATTTTTGGATAAATAATATAGTTAGAAGTATTAATATATATATAACTTATAAAAAAAATCCAAATAAATATAACAATTTTAAAATTTTAAAAACAAATGGATGAATTTTTTTAACTTCTTCAAAAACTACCAGTTCATGGTAGTTTCTGATAATCATTTAAAAATTTAGGGTTTAATTTTATAGTGGTTTTTTGAAATTGTTTAAAAGTTTATGATTTAGTTTTATTGTTTTAAAAAAAATTTAGAATTTAATATAAAATTTAGAAAGAGCTCATGTATTTATTTGAAATTTTTAAAATTTGTGTATTTATTTGATTTTTTTATAAGTTAGTGTATTAATATGTGATTCGAATGATAGTCTAATATCATATCTATGTCTATCAATCATTTTTAAGATCTTAAACTATATTTTCCTTAATTTACTCTTTGCAATTACTAAGAATTATTTTATATATAATACATCCGTTAAAACAAATAAAATTATAAAAACTTGGTTAAACAAAATAGGTTAGAAATTAAATAGTATGTTTTATGATTAGATTTTTTTTAAACCATAATACACGTATGTTCCAAATAAGTTGACGAAAATTTTAAAAGCTAAAAACAATATATTAAACGCTTTAATAATAATAGTAACTTGATTTTACTATAAAACAAAATACTCCCTCCATTTCTAAATATATAGAACGTTTTAGAAACTATTATGTATTACTAAATAAATATCATTTTAGATTTTTTAGATGGTTTAAAAAAATCAATTTATTTTTAATTTAAAATATCCAATTAATAGAGTATCGATGATAATATGTTTTAATGGCTGTATATATGATTTTGAAAAATCTAAAAGATATTTATTTAGAAACGAATGGAGCAGTACTGATAAATAATAATTAAATAATTAATTTTTTTGTAGAAAAAAATGTTGTTATGATAGTTGAAATTTTTTAATTAATAAACTAACGCATCAAAAGTTTTTTAAGATCCACAAAAATTGTTTCCTCAAGAAAAAATAAATAAAAAATCGTCTCTTTTTCTTTCATGTACCCAATTTTCATATGTTTTTCCTTTACCAAAAAAAACAAAAAAAAAATTCATATGTTTCCCATGCAAACAGTGTAGTGTAGGGTCCCATTAATGAGACGTCGGGTTTATGTACCGTCATCGATCCACGAGATGCCTCCAACACGAAATCTGGACCGTCCATCAAGATCTAGGATATGAAGCATGATATACCCTCCCACGTCCATCCTTATATTGCACCGAACAAAAAAAAAAAGGCTAAAAACTATTAACCAAAAATATATATATCGAACCGTTGGTATTTGTTCTGTTTCGAACACACAGGAAAAAAAAAGGGTTAGAAGAACAAAAAAAAAACTCAGTGGAGAGAGTCTTGGATAGAGGTAAGATTCGAAAGTCTTCTCCTTTCGAACCTGTATACACTGCGGGAATCTTCCGGTTCTGTGTTTAGCTGTTGAATCTTTAGAGCGTGTCTGAATTTCTATGTTGATTGGCTGGGTGTTGCTGCTGTGCGTCTTGAAGTTGCGTCGGGGAAGCTAGGGTTTCTATGTGCGTTTGTCTGATGGAAACTTTGCAGTTCTTTGTAATTCGATGCGTTTTCTCTTGTGGATGCGATTTGTTTAGCTGGAAAATGCATGGATTTAAAGATAACTGGCTTACATTCGCAAGATTCGAGAGAAGATTTGCTTTTGGGTTTTCTGGGATCACGTTTGATGGAATCTTTGGGAATTTTTCTGAATTATAATGTGAGTTCGATGAAATATACATGTTCTGATGAGTTCTGACCTTCTTTATATCCCGTCTCCCATGAATTTAGCTCTCACGTGATTCAGGAATTTCCTTTCTGTATAACCATTTGGTTGTGGCTTTGGTCCGGCAAATTTTGTAGTGGTTGTTTCTGGTGAAACATTGATTTCTGGCTCGATTTTAGGAACTTGCAACTTTAACTCCATGAACTAATTTTCCTTGCAGCCTTGGACGCCAGAGTTAGGTGTTTCTTGGGTTATATGATCTAGTTAGAACTGGGTTAACAATGGGCGAAGAAGATACAAAGGCTGCTGTTGTTGATCCAGCAGCAAATGGGACTAGCCTTCAACAAAATCCACCAGAGGCTTTGTCTGGTAAGAAAGAGGAAGAAAATGCTGGAGGTAAGGAAATACAGGAAAATAAGAAGGGTGGGGAAGGGGAGCCTGAGAAAATGGAGATAGATGCAGAAATCAAGAAAGGTGAGACAGAAAATGTGGAGATTAGGAAAGATGAGGACAAATCTGAGATGGAGAAAACCAAAGAAGAGATAAAGGTCAAGAAAAATGAGGGACAAGCAGAGACTGCCAAAGAGGATGAAGACACAGATAGTAAGAACGAGGATACTAATGGTGGTGTGCATGTGACTGATGCAGCAGGAGATGTTGTAATGAAGGAAAATGTAGAGTCTGGTGACAGTAAGGACGAGAAAGTGGATGAAAATCAAGAATATGAAAAGACAGATATTACTGAAGCAGGACAACAGAAAGCAGAGAAGAAACATGAAAAAGAGAAGCCTAAACAAGAAGAGGAAAATGTCAATCAAAATGAAGAAAAAAATAAAGGGGACAACAAAGAGAAAGAAAAGGTGGTGAATGCAAACAGAGAGAAAGAAGATGCAGAAGAGATAGAAAAGGTGGATGCAAATCAAGAGGATGAGACTATGGAGGAAAGGGAGGGTTTGGATGAGGGAGAAGACGAGGAAGGGAAGGAAGACAATAAAGAAGAGGGAGTGGAGGTGGAGGAAAATGTTGATGAGCAGAAGGTGGAAGCTGAAAAAGAAGAGAGTGAGGATGAGAAAGAAGATGAAAAAGACAACGGGGAACACGAAAAGGAAGAGAATAAGGAGGAGAAGCAAGATGAAAAAGAGGAGACTAAGGAAGAGAAGGGGTCTAGAAAGCGTGGAAAAGGAAAAAGTACAGAGGAGAAGGTTAATGAGAAGATGAAGAGTGAGGAAGAAAAGAAGGATACAGAACCAAGGACTCCTTACTCTGATCGACCCGTCCGTGAGCGGAAATCTGTTGAAAGGCTTGTCGCGTTGATTGATAGAGATTCTTCAAGGGAATTCCATGTTGAAAAGGTTTTTTTTAACATTTTCCTTTGTTTGATCTCTTAATAGTTTGATTTGCTAGATCTTTTAATGATTTACTCTTGAATATTACAGGGAAGAGGTTCACCACTTAAAGATATTCCCAACGGTATGTTCATGCTATAATTTTTATGCTCTAGTCTCTCTCTTACTCATCTGTCATCATGTCAGTCATTTGCAAAGCTGATTTGCCTTTTTTTTTATTAACCCCAACTGGTTAAAGAGCACGATTTTTCCACCTGAACAAAGAATATAGATAGATATGTGTGTGTATATATATTTTACCAACACTTCTGAATGCCCTGATTGGTTAAACTTTATTATTACTGTGTTAGTTTGTGTTGCAAAAACAAAGTAAATAATTGCAAGTCTGTTTTCTTTGTAGTGGCCTACAAGGTGTCAAGGAAGAAGGGTGATGAAACTTTCAAGCTGCTGCACACAATTCTATTTGGAAGGAGAGGCAAGGTGATACTGCTGCATCTCTTAGTACCCTTTTTTTGGACAGCCAACATGCTCTACTGTATGCTTATATGGTTTTACCCGAGTGATTTTTGAACTTTTAGATGGTGCATATTTTACAATTGCAACAATTATGCCAATATTGGGTATATGTGACCTGTAACTGTTTCTTTGACAGGCTGCTCAGATCAAGACGAACATATTACAGTTTTCTGGTTTCGTGTGGCATGGAAATGAGGTGGATAAGATAGCCCACTAGACGAGATTGTCTTATATTTGCACTTGGTTCCTTTATAATTTTGTCAAACCCTGTGCTTGCAGGAGAAGGCAAAACTCAGAGTAAAAGAGAAGTTTGACAAGTGCAACAAGGAAAAACTTTTGGAATTTTGCGATGTATTTGACATACCAGTTGCCAAGGCTACAATAAAGAAGGTGAAGGCTATGCATTTCAAAATTTTGTTTTTCAAATTCAGTTGTCCCTTTCTTTGGATGAAGGGTCTTTCCTTGAGCAGACTGACCTGCCATTGTGATTGCTCTCAAATTTATGCTAAATCTTGTTCTTATATAGTTACAGCTACTGATTGTTGCATAGTAATATTCAACACAGGAAGATATTGTTACAAAACTGATTGAGTTTTTGGAGGAGCCTCATGCGACAACTGATGTTCCAGTTTATGAGAAAGAGAAGGTATCTGGCAATGAACCCATGCTTTCTTTTTACTTCGGAAGTTGAGCTTGAAAATTAGTCGTGCATATTATCTATTTTAATCTTCTGTTGAAGCAACCGAGCAAGGCAGCAAAACGCAAAAGAACCTCTAAGAGTTCACCTACAGCTGGGGGTTCATCCTCTAAGGTATTATTGCATTGCTATTACTGAGGATCTTGTTTGTGTCTTAATAGTAAGATTATGCAAAGAGAATTTGTCACTTAACAGATTATCAAGGATATCTAAATTACCTTGATATAAGTTTTTGTATGTCAACTTTGCAGAGTCAGAAAAAGACTGACAGAGCAGAAAAGGCTGAGAAAAAGAGTTTGACTCATTCTGATGATGAATCTGAGGAAGAGAAAGAGGAAGAAAATGTAGAAGAAAAAGAGAAGGAAGAAGGGGAAGAGGAAGAAGAAAAAAAGTTAGAGGCAGAGAATGAGAACGGCGTCCCTGATAAATCTGAGGACGAGATGCCTGAGCCTTCTGAAAGTGAGGAGAAAGTTGAATCAGAGGAGGAATCAGAAGAAGACACTAAAAAGAGGAAACGTGGTTCTGGGTCTTCATCTGGGAAGAAAGAATCAGCAAGGAAAGCCAGAAGCAAGAAAGCTGCTGTCACTGGAAAAGCCAGTCCACCACAAAAGGCTACCCAGAAGAAATCATCTGCAAAGCGGAAGAAGACTGATGACGATAGTGATTCAGGTCCAACGACATCTTCTAAAAGGAAGAAAACTGAGACACCCACCAAATCCTCAGCTCCTTCAAAATCTGCGTCTAAAGAGAAAGCAGGTATTACTTTCATTGTTCTTTCTTTCCTCTCTACTAATTGGTTTTACACTTTAGTTTGCTTCTTAGCACTTGAGTAGAACAAAGCCTTAGCTGGTGTGGGGGATTTTATAAAAAGCATCAGACGATCTTATTCCTTGCTTGATTTTCTTTTTCTCTATTGAAGGGAAAAGGTCTGGTAAAGGGAAAGACAAAAGCAAAGAACCGAGCGATAAAGAGTTGAAAGATGCGATCATTGAGATCTTGAAGAAAGTGGACTTCAACACGGTGAGAACGTCTTCAAGCTTCCATTATTTGTACTAAGCTAATTGGAAACTTTATAATATACAAGCCTGTGGAAGTTATTTGTATCTTTATAGTTAATGCACACTTTTCTTGGTGTTAACTCTGCAGGCCACATTCACTGACATCCTCAAGCTACTTGGTATGACTTGGCTCAGATCTCGGTTTGTTCCATTCTTGATTACTGCATGGCATACGGGTTTGTTAATGAAACATGTTTTTTCCTGTGTGTTTTTCAGGCAAGGAATTCAACATGGATCTCACCCCAAGAAAGTCATCGATAAAGCTGATGATACAGGAAGAGCTAACGAAATTAGCAGAAGAGGCAGAGGATGAGGAAGGAGAAGAGGAGGAGGGAGCAGAGAAAGAAAAGGCAGGGCCTGTGGGCGTGGGCGAAGAAGAGGTTAAAGCCTGAAACTCTAAGCCAAAGCAGTAGAGCAAACGTGTCATTATGCATGCGGAAATCATATTCTTGTGAGGACCTTTGTTTGCCTAGTATGGTAGGTGAATGAATCACTGAAATCTGGATGTGATTTGTTGTTGTTGTTGTTGTTGTTTTTTCTTCTTCGGTTTGATTTTGGGACGATGGAACAAAAACTATCACCAGTTTTTGTCTTTTTAGTTAATGGTAGAGAAGAGACAACCAGAGAGAAGGGACAAAAGCTGCATAAGAGAGTGTGAGATAGGCAGCTGGTCTGTGTATACTAATTTAAACATTAAGCCGAGTCCCCTTAGGTTTCATTCTCATAGCCCTTTTGAGTTGGGTCTCTCCTTCAAACTTTATGAGTTTATTTTGGTAATAATAATTTGGGAGATCCTTGCTCCTCAGATTTCTCTAATTGTCTCTCTTTACATTGTGTGCTTTCTTTATATGTTTTTTATTTCCTCGTCTGGCCTATTTTGGTATCATGCCAAAAGTTAGAACGATGATGCATAGAGACATGATGAGCAAGAGACCAAAGAGAACACAGTGAATGATGCAATCCTATAACCTAACGAGACTGTATCACATCAATCTCTAACCAAAAAACTGCGACAAGGGCCTGCTGCATCTGATCTGAGACTGACAAATAATAAAATCCAAACGCATGGAGGAATAGAAGAATCTTAATTCCATTGAAGATCAGAATCCATACAGACCAAAAATAAAAGAGAGAACAATGGTGTCATTGCATTAGTTATGTACACTTGAAAGAATGAGCCTAATTTTTGCCCTAGAAACAACAGTTTCTGACTCTACATCCCTTTTGGCCAAAAAAAAACACAAAAAGGATGCAAATGCTGTTACAATTGGTGGTGTAAAAACCCCATATAGAACCTCTACACAAATCATGGGGAGAAACAATGGTGAGACTACCAAAAAAAAAATACAAGAGATACAACCAAATGGGTTAAAAACAGGGAAAGCAACATCAGGATCTAAGTAACAGCTACTACTACTACTATTACTACCTCTAACTAAGTGCCCATCATTTGGAACCAGTTAAAGAGGACATCTAACACAAAACAAGAACCTGAAAAGGCCGTAAACTGTCACCACAACACATCCTGTCTCGTCTTTAGAAACAAAACATAAATGGCAACTGTCTCTCAAGAACTTTAAAAGCAACCGTTCCTCTCAGTTTCTTTCTTTCCTTCCACCTCTCTACATTTCTAGCTGCTTTGGAAGATGATATATCACCACAAACACTCTTTGTGTTGCGAGATTCTACATGGTTGACGTCTTCTTTTTTGTCTTCTACAAGAATTAAAGCTTCCTAGGAGCTCTCAAAATCAATCTATCAAGAGGGCAAATGGTACATAGAGATGTCAAACACAGTGGAAAATGCATAAAAGCTGGGTTAAAACGCTTGCTGAAACCACGAAAGACGAAAGACTAATTATAACTTTTACCAAAAATGACAGACACAGGAAATCATCAATCCATTTTCGTTAGAGACACCTCTAAGTAACAACCTATGGAGCATGCGAATACATCTACTAAGTTCAGGAGGATGCATGAGATATATAAGGCTGAAAAAATGAGTTATAAGATGATATTAGAGACTCACTTGGTGTTTCTATGTGATATGTCAGGCGTAATTACTCAGAGGTAAGCCGCCTTCTCTTCCCATAGTCACCGTCCCTTGATCTTGAGAGGTGATCTTCCTCCTTAGATAACCGTGACTTGCTATGGGTTCTCGATGATCGGCCTCTATCACTCTCTTCATCATGCTTGGGTTCTTCCCGGTATCTACGATGTTCTCCATATCTTTCTCTCTCCTCCCTATGTCGATCTCTCTCCCTATCCCTTTCTCTATCATGATCATGTTCACGTTCCCGCTCACGATCTCTGGAGCGTTCCCGATCCCTATAATGGTCCCTTTCACGCTCCCTGCCCACGTCTCTATAATCCCGATGCTTCCTCTCTGATGGGTCATGATCGTTGCCGCCATCCTTATTATCATCATGATACCTTCGATCGGATGAACCAGACCACTCCCTTTCCGAAGGTCTTTCCTTTTCCTTCATAGGATTATGACGACTTCCTCTACCATGATTAGCATCTCCATATTGATGATCAGATGTAGGTTCCTCCCCATAACTAGTTTCTGCAGCTCTCCCACCACCCGTCTCTTCACCACCCCATCCTCCCATATTAGGATCCCACATTCCCATATTAGGCCCTCCATCAACAACACTTGCATTGGACATCACCATCGGCATT